ATGCTATCACATCACCTCTATCATCGTCCATAAAAATCTTTTCTCCCATTGACATACGAATTATTATAATAAAGGAATGTCAACAAAGTTGGCATCAAAAGTGGACATCTTATTACACAAAATTAAACCACATAAAACATAACACTGACAATAAATTGGACATTTGCCTTCGAAATCCATAGAAAATTCGAAGTAATAACAACCAGACTGAGAATAGGACACACAACAGTTTTCTAATGTCCAGGGAAGAACCTCCAATATGCACAACCTGCGGTGTTCAAGTAACCCATCAAACACATTCTCACCGATTGCCGAACATATCTCAATACCCGAACAAGCTTTTCATCCTGCCCGAATCATCACTTTCAGAAATATTAAACAACAATCCTCAATTCATTACCAACATCATACAATTCATCACAGCCGCCAATCTTCTAACCAAAATTTAGTATAATTTAGATATAGATACAATTCATGTAATTTTTTCTTCTTATATATATTTCTCACTGTAAACCCAATGGCCCATGATGCCGAGGGTATTAAAAAAAAAAAATAAAAATATGGACTTAGTATATTATTTTATATTACATTTTACTTTACACACCAAGGAGCGTGTTGAGCGATTCTGCCGCGCCGTTGTACAACGTAAACTCCGTGTCTTCGTTTTCTTCCAACACGAACGTGTAAAGCACATTTATGTACGCATACACCTATATAATAATGTTTATGATAATATKATCTTGAATTCTTGAACTATTATAGCGTAGTAAACTGGTACCCATGGTATATTATTATATAATAAAATAAATATAATAATATGGTGTGTGTATATACTATATATGTGTGTTGTGTATATACTATATTATATATACACTACTATAATACGTGTGTCGAGCCAAATATGAAATAGCTAATATAGGTATTGCCGAGGTACATGTTTAGGTTTGGTGTCGTTCAAATTTCAAGTAATTTACTGTAATAGCAATTTAAGGTAATGGGATAGTGAAATAAACAAATATTATCTTATAATTTTTATAATCGTATAATTTAGGAATCGTTAATTAATATTTTTGGAAGTGTCACTTTAGGAATTCAGAATGTTTTTGGAGGCCGTACAAATGTAATGAACATGATGATACCACATCCGAAAGTAATATGTCAAGATAAAGATAAAATAATGAAAACCTCATTTCATTTATTATAGATATGAAAAAAATTCTTTTCTGCGGACCGAATTAAGTTTTTCCACGATGTTTGGGTGACATTTGGTGTGAATTATTATATGTTCAAGAGACGGAAAAGTACATTTTTAGTTCCGAAATCACAACTATAATATG